TGGTTGGAGGAGGCTGGTCATTCGGGATATGCCTTTGGGGTTTATATTTTGTCCCTGGTGAGCCAAACTTAGTCTCTCTGTTTTCTGATGGTCATATCCTGAGCTGCTTTCCTTCACCATACTCCTCTACTGTGATGTTTTGCCTTACATCATGCCCACAGCAAGGAAGCTGGTCATTTATGGACTGAGACCTCTGAAACCAGGAGCACCAAATAAACTTTTCCTCCTCTAAAATCGTTCTTGTTAGGTCTTTTGAAAAAGCTGATCAAAACATTCAGTGATGTGGTTACAAGCACAGACATGTGAGAGCCACTGCCTGGCTTCTAATCCCAGCTTTGCTTTTTTACTAGCTCAAATAGTGTATTATTCTATTTATGCCTAAATTCCATAATCTGCAAAATAGACCTGGATTAAACCTGAAATTCCTGACATTTCACTATTTTAGACCTAGAAAATGGCAGTTCCTTTTGACTAATAATATTTTCCTCATAAGGTTTCAAGGATTAAATGAATTAATATTTGTAAAGTACTTAAAAAAATTTTTTTTGGTCTAAAGTATTATATAAGTACTTGTTCAATAAAATGAAATAAAACATTAAAACCACTTCTCAAGTGGGAGGGTGTGGGGGTGCATGCCTGTAATCCCAGTGACTCTGGAGGATGAGACAGAAGAATCACAAGATCAAGGCCAGCCTCAGCAATTGAACAAGGCCCTGTTTCAAAATAAATAGCCAAGCTCTGGAATCAATCAATCAACAGATGAATGGATAAAGAAAATGTGGTATAAATATACAGTAGAGTATTACTCAGCCATAAAGAAGAATGCTGGTAAATGGATGGAATAGCTGGTAGATGGAGATTATCATGCTAAACAAAATAAACCAGCTTCAGAAAGCCAAAGAAATGTTTTCTCTTGTTTGTGGAAGATAATCCAAAGCGAGCAGGGAGAGAGAAGAGAGAAAGAAAAAAGCAGGGGGAGAGTGATCCCATTTAAAATAGAAGAAAGATCTGTGGACTAGGTGAAGGGGACTGAAGGGGAGGGACGAGGGTGGGATAAGGGAAGAATAGCAGAATGAATCTGACCTAACTTTCCTGTGTACATGTGTGAACATACCACAGTGAATCTCACCATCACATACATCCACAAGGTACTATCTCTCTCTCTCTCTCTCTCTCTCTCTCTCTCTCTCCTGAGTTGTCTATTCCTCCCATGCTCCCCGTCCCTACCCCACTATGAATCAGCCTCCTTATATCAAAGAAAACATTCGGCATTTGTTTTTTTGGGATTGGCTAACTTCACTTAGCATTATCTTCTCTAACTCCATCCATACAAATACAAAAAATATATTTTTGTATTGGGTATTGAACCCAGGGGCACTTTACCACTGAGGTACATTCCTGGCCCTTTTATTTTTTTAAATTTTGAGACAGTGTCTCACTAAGTTGCTTAGGGCATTGCTGAGTTGTGGAGGCTGACCTTGAATTTGCAATCTTCCTGCCTCAGTCTCCCAAGTCCTGGGATTACAGGTGTGCACCACCATGCCCAGCCTTTATGTTGCTTTTTAATATGCTGGAATAAGTTTTCGAGCTGATTAATTTATAAAATTATATAGACAGAGTCGGACATGATGGCACATGCCTATAATCCCAGTGGCTTGGAAGGCTGAGGCAGGAGGATTGCAAGTTTGAGACCAACCTCGGTGACTTAGCAAGGCCCTAAGACTTAGTTAGTGAGACCCTGTCTCAAAATAAAACATAAAAAATGGGCTGGGAATGTGGCTGAGTAGTAAAGCACCTCTGGGTTCAACACAAAAAATATAAGTTATGAAGTGGTATGATAACTCAGCAGACTCAAACAAAGAATGTAACTAGGACTCATGGGCTTGTGGATGCTATGGAAAGGGCTGGACACCATTGGGCTACTCTTCAGAGCTAATGCATGCCCTGAAAGAAGAGAAGTTCTTGGAAAGTAATGATGTCTCAGGGCAGGGTGACCCCAGCATGACTGGGGTCACCCTGTGGCCTAACCAGCACCAGCAAAGTCTGACGAGATCTGACACTGCCAACCTCAATAACCTCAATGAACTTTCTTTCTTTCTTTTCTTTTCTTCCTTCCTTCCTTCCTTCCTCCTGCCCTCCCTCCCTCCATCCCCCCTCTTTTTCCTGGGGACTTAACCTCTGAATCACATCTCCAAGCCTCTTTATATTTTATTTTGAGACAAGGTCTCCCTAAGTTGCTTAGAGCCTAGCTAAATTGCTGAAGCTGGCTTTGAACTTGTGATCCTCCTGCCTCAGCCTCCTAAGCTGCTGGGATTACAGGTTTGTGCCACTGTGCCCTGTGAACTTTTTTTTTTTTAAATCACTTTCTCCCTCCTGCTATGCATGGCCCCAAGCTGTTACTTGAACATATCAAGCTTGTGTCTCTTGAGGACTGTACACTGACTCTTCCCTCTGCCTGCAGAGCACGTTGCACAGGTGTATGCAGGGCTGGCTCCTTCTCATCATTCAGATTTCAGCCTGTCAACTCCAAGAAAGACTCCTTTCTAAAGTAGTTCCCTCTTGCCTCCCTACTCCAGTCTTTATTATGTACTTGGTTTAATGTCTCTATTGGAAAGAGTGCTTCCTAATATTTTGTTAATTACATTTTCTCCACAGGACTATGTGCTCCATAAAGCAGAAACTGATTTCTTGTTCATTTGTACCTAGAGGGATGCCTAGCCTAGAGAAAGGAGTCAATAGTTATTTGTTATTATATAAACAGCAAAGGCAAATAAAAGCTAAGAGGAAGAAAGAAGCAACTTTTCCCCATCTGCATCTCAAATGATGAGAAAATCTGGTAGATTTACCACAAAATATGAAAATAAAAACTAAAAATAAATCAACACACTGGAGTCTAAAGTATGTTTTAAAGTTACTTATTGTTAAGCATATGAGAAAAAGGAAATGTTGAGTTAAAGTCATTTCATTAAAATATAACTGTCACTTCTTGGCATATTTCTTCTTGGATCTTCTTTTATGTATTTAAAATTGTATTATACAAAATATAATTGTATGGTTCTACAATAACCTTGGTCATTTGGTAATGTGGTATGTAAATCTTCTGATGAAAAATGTGCTGGTGTGTAATTCTTGGTGGCTATGTGGCATCTATTTTATGGCTGTAGATATATTGCTTTAGTCAGTAGTTCATTGCTGGACATTTAAATTATTTCCAGTTTTGAGCTACAAACAGCCCTCTTATGAATATATTTTTTTTGTTTTTGTTCCTTTCTAGGGATTTAAACCAGGGGCACTTTACTACTGAGCTATATCCATAGCCCTTTTTATTTTTTTATTTTGAGACAGTGGCTCACTAGGTTGCTGAGAGTATTGCTAAGTTGTTGAGACTGGCCTTGAACTTGTACTCCTTCTTCCTTAGCCTACTGAGTAGCTAAGGAGTGTGCCACCATGTCCACCTTCATTCTGCTCTTATCTATCTTCTTTCATTTAATTTAGTCTGGTCTTTTTCTGGTTTCTCATTTTGGAAAGTTAGATGATTTTTTGGTTTCTATTGTTCTCATATATGCATTTCCATTCAAGTACCTGTAGGCTTGTATACCCCACAAGTTCCTTTCTCAGCATGTAAAAATTTCGTTGTTTAAAATACAAATTATTTGGAAGTTTTAAAATTTCCAAATGTGGGGCAGAGGATGTACCTCAGCGATAGAGTGCTGGTCTAGCTTGCATGAGGCCTTGGGCTCAATCCCCAGCACCATAAACAAACAAACACAAGTTTCTAAATGTGTTGGGTGGTCTTTGAGTTGATCAGTTGCTGTTCTTTGTAAGACTTAACATGATACAATAATCCCTGAAGAATAATACCAATAACAGAATTAGAGGGAAAGATTACAGGACTGTGAAAGAAAATTACTTTTTTGGTTTGTTTGTTTTGGTATTGGGGAATGAACCCAGGGGTGCTTAACCACTGACCCACATCCCCAGCCCTATTTTATATTTTATTTAGAGACAAGGTCTTGCTGAGATGCTTAATTCCTCACTAAATTGCTGTAGCTGGCTTTAAACGTGCAACCCTCCTGCCTCACGCTCCTGAGCCACTGGGATTACAGGTGGGAGTCACCAGCCTGGTGTAATACTCTTGATTTAATATGTTGAAGGAAGTATTCGATTTCACATCAACTACTTCTATTGACTCATTTTGAAGCAAAATACTTCTTCCATCCATCTAGGCACAATTGCATCTAGCACAAGGAAGATGCTTTCCCCCACTCCTTCTGTTTTTTTGTCCTTTTTATTCCCTAGGACTCTGAGGTATAATTCCCAGGAAAATTCAGTCAAGGGAGGATGGATTATTCCCCCAGACTCAGTGCTATCATTTGGTCACCAATAGTTAGTGCTAATTAGAATATTTTTTACTTGAGAGAAACAACATAAGTTTCTTTGTTTTTGAAAAGGCCACAATCTCAGAATGTAAAATTTTCCTCCTCTAAGTTTAGAAAAACGCTCCCACTTCAAGTGCTATCATGTAAAATGTATGTAAACAAAATTCTTTACAGTTGAGCTGACCAGACATGAATCGAACCTGTCTTTGGATACTGGATCTGCCCTCAACTATTGGTCAGTAATTATCTCCCTTTTTAATTTAAGACAAAATTTAATTATTGTTTTGACATATTTGTTCCTACATGTTCTAGACAAAGCATGGAGAAGAGTAATAGGATGAGCAGCTATAGTTTTTGTTAGTGATGTTGGTAGATTTTTTTTTTCTTTCTTTTTTTTTTTTTGGATGGAGAAGACACTAAACTGAGTCCTGAGCGAAGGGTGGAACATTGAACAGAAGCAGCTGTTCCAGGATGACGCAACAGCATGACATTTTCATGTTTTCTGTCCCACATTCCTTTCTACTTCTCTAATTCTGTATTTCCTATTAGTTTTTCATAGTAATTTCTCCAATTATAGTTTCAGTTTCTGTGTATTGCAAACTCTGAATTTCTGTAACTTAGTTTTCAGCACAGCTCAAACTAATTCCTGTTTTTCTCTTTAGGAATTATAACTCTCATGTAATTGAAGCTTTTTATCTTTTCCCCCAATTTTGAGGGTATTGATCTACATTTGAGGAGAATAGGTTCTTTGGTCTGACTCAGGAGAGTTCTGGTTCTCACTGGCTGTCTATGGACTGGAGTGACATTTTCATCTTGAGCAAGAATCATTACTGGTGCTTAGAAACAATTCAGCCATTTTTCTTATTTTTTTTTTAATCTTTTCTATGTAACTCAGGTGAAATGGACAGTGGAATACAGTAAGCTTCAAATTGGCAAGAAAACTTTTCCACAGGGAGGTAAGATCGGGTACAGGAGGTTTCAGAGGTGTTGTGCTAATTTGTTGATGTCCCTTTCTGTGGTGTGCTGGGAAGTCGGGGGACAGCTGGAGAGCTGTGGCAGAAAGCGTAGCACAGATAGGAGCACATTTAACCAAAGGGAAGAATATGGTGAGACTCAAGGGTCCTGGTTTAGCATGAAATGATTTATTTGAAAGTTTCTGGAAGGCATAAATCTGGAGGATAGGAATTAGAGGAGACCAGATCAGTGAGAGAATGACAGAAGAAGTTTGGACAGTAGAGTGGGCTATGAAGATAGAGACTACAGAGTAGGAGTAGATGTATTATGATAAGAGAGGAAGGAGTTCTGGCAATGAAATATTAGATACCCCCAAACTCATTTTACCTTCTATGAAATTCTACCAAGTTCTCTGATAGTAAAAGCTGCTTTATTGAATTCTTGAAAATTATCTTTGAATTGAGGTCATCAGTATTTTTAACAGAGTAGTGTAGTAAAGAATGCCTGAAATCTGGAGTCAACCTGTTTTGGTGTATTTTTCTTTAAGGAGAAATACATGTGCTCAAATAGAAAATTTATGAAACAAAGTGGAAAAAGGAGAAAACCCACGGTATCTTTATAGAAAGATAGCAACTGGTAAAATTTTGACATTTTCTTCGGATGCTTTTAAAATTTACTTCCATTTTTTAACAATTGTAAGAATTGGGTTTGAATTTAACACCTAGCTGTGCAACATTAGGCAATTTATTTAAACTCTTTTGAGTCCTTGTTTTCTTATCTGTAAAACATAGATCCCTGTTTACAGCTATTTTTTTCAACAAAAGAGATGAAAGATTTTTTAGAGGCCATAAGCTTTTAGGAGGAAAGGAAATTAATGTTATAAACTTTGATATGTCTATTTTAAAGGAAATGATCACTAAAAAGGGTAAAAAAAATAAAGATCAGCATTTATGATAAAATAGAACTTGAGGAAATTGTCTTAGTTGCAACTACATGAGAGAATATGAACATTCTCAATTTAGACAAGTTTATAATTCATGGGTCTAATCATGAGCTGAAAAATTCAAGAACCGAATTGTAAAAGCGGGAGATTATTTCTGAAATTCAAATATAAGGCTGGAAGATGAGGTTCACTGGGTATCTCAAAACATGTAGGATGAGAATAATGAAATGGAAAAAATGAAAGAAAATAAAATAAGGGGGAATAAAATAAAATTAGAGTCAGGAGGCACAGTATGTAAAGTCAATAATTTCAGAAGCACAAGAAGGAACTGACTTAATTTGAATGGGAAGGCACAGGGAGCAGAGGGTAGAGAAAAGTATTAGAAAGATTTCATCATAAATGTTGGGGATAAGTAAGAAGGAAATGAAATATATTGGTAAGGAAAGTAGTTACCATTATATTAAAAAAGAATACAGCAATGTGTCATTGGAAAGGGATAGTAACCATAAAAAGAATAAAAAAGTATAGTAGGACTTTGATATTAGCAAGAGGGTAATATAATTAATATGAGTTTTTTTAAAAAAATGAATACAATCTTAAACCAGCAAAATTTTAAGAGGAAAAGATTACCTTTTTTTTTTTTGGTTGATAACATGATTGTAAACCTAGAAAGCCCAAGATATATCAGTAAACAACTTCTGAATATTTTAAGGTGGCTGTGTAAGTAAGTAAAAAGTAAGTAGCTTTTCCATTTTATCACATTTCCTATTCTGTGGCATTTTTTTCCATGTAGAAATTGGGGAGTATAAGTCTCTGTACTTCTGATACACCACTCCTTAAATTCTTAGGTGCTTTTGTTTACATTTCCCCCTTCTGGACTGTACTGTGAAGCTCAAACTAAATCTGAGGTTGTATGATCAAATGATCCCAAAGATTTAGGCACAGAAAAAGTTTCTGGGGCTAGCTCTCTGTGACTCAAGCACAGTATAAACTCTTAATTGTACAATGGCAAGGTGACCTTCATTTTTTGATATCTGGGTCATTACTCCATAGCCAGGACGTCCTTTTCAACTTGAAAACTTTTCCTGCCTCATGTGCTCCTCAGGTAACAGGAACTTCAGGTTCAACCTTGCACATGAAGTTGATGGACGGAGGAAATCACTCAGCGGTGTCTGAATTTGTGTTGCTGGGACTCACCAGTTCTTGGGAGCTTCAGATTCTCCTTTTTGTGTTCTTCACAATATTTTATGTAGCAAGTATGCTGGGAAACCTTCTCATTGTGCTCACCATCATCTCAGACCATCATTTACACTCCCCAATGTACTTCTTGCTGGCAAATCTCTCCTTCATCGATACGGGTGTGTCCAGCATCGCCACTCCAAAGATGATTTATGACCTGTTCAGAAAGCATAAAGCCATCTCCTTGAAAGGGTGCATCACACAGATATTCTTCATTCACACTGTGGGAGGGACAGAGATGGTGCTACTCATTGTCATGGCCTATGACCGATACGTGGCTATCTGCAAGCCCCTCCATTACCTGACCATCATGAGCCTAAGAATGTGCATTTCTCTTCTGACTGTGGCTTGGACCATTGGACTTATCCACTCTGTAGTCCAACTGGCTTTTGTTATAAACTTGCCCTTTTGTGGAAGCAACAAAATGGATAGCTTTTACTGTGATTTTCCTCGGTTTATCAAACTTGCATGTACAGATACATACAGACTGGAGTTTCTGGTCACTGCCAACAGTGGTTTCATCTCCATGGGCACCTTCTTCATCTTGATTGTGTCTTATATCTCCATCCTGGTCACGGTTCGTAAACACTCCTCAGGAGGTTCCTGCAAGGCCCTCTCCACTCTCTCAGCTCACATCACCGTGGTGGTTTTTTTCTTTGGTCCTTGCATCATAGTTTATGTGTGGCCATTCCCTACCTTACCCATAGATAAATTTTTAGCTATCTTTGATGCCATTATTACTCCTTTTATGAATCCTGTCATCTATACATTTAGAAATAAGGAGATGAAAGTGGCAATGAGAAAACTCTTTGTTAAGGCTTTAACGAGTTTTAGGAAAAGTTCTTTCATGCACAGTTCAGGAAATTCAGATTAATATTGACTGTTCTGGGAAATTAATCTCTTTAGTTAAATATTTCACAAGTTTTTTTCATTTTAGTTCAGTTTTCAATATCCAGTATGAAATGCCTCCTCACAGACTCTATTTTGATGTGGTAAGTTTTTCCTAGGGAAATGTTATTCTGAGAATTCTGCAAATATTGAAGAGAGAATTGGGAGGAGCTCAGAGATAAAACATGACCTCGTGTGCATGAGGCCCTGGGTTCCATCCCAGCACCATGAAAAGAGAAAAATATGTCTACACTGGGGAGGAGTGAATTCAGCCTTGGAATATTGAATTTGTTACTGGAGGTTGTGTCTGTTATTGAAGACTTTGGGATGGTCACGGCTGAAATCTCACATACTAGATGCATTTCCACTGATACTAACGTTGGCTTTTCTTCTCTTTGATGCTGACTCTGAAAGACATCTCTCTTTCAATCCACATGTGTAACTATATTTATGCCCTCTGAGCAGAATTCTCAATGTCCACACACGGAGAAGAATAAACTAAATTAAGATAATTGCCTAGATAGCTTTGAGAATTGGAGGCTTTTGTCATCTAAATTTTTTACCCACACTCAGATCAAGTTAATACTAAGGTTTTAGATTTAGTTAAAATTGAAAGATGAAATTTAATGTAAATCGTAGAGATAACTGAGGAAACTTTAATACTATTAATGAATATTAAATCAATTTTTTAGGCCAGAAGATGTAAATTTCCATATCATTCAATGTATATGATAATTATAATTTATCCTGGTTATTTTCTAAACAACAATTTATTTTTATAAGGCAAAAAAACCATATCTGATTATTAAATGATTGTAAATGTCTTGAATATTTTGGAACTAAAAGAAGAGAAACTGATTTATAAATAAAAAAGCAAAAAATTTAATTTATGTGAATAAGGTTTATAACTAAATAAAAAATAAAGTGTAGAAACTTCAAAAGAAAATTTATTGTAAAACTGTATAAATGAAGAGATATAAAGATATAATGAAGACATAATTAAACTTTCCATATGATAAAGTGTATTTTATATATGTGTGTATTTTATATATATGTATGTGTGTGTGTGTGTATATATATATATATATATATATATATATATATATATATATATATAATTTTTTTTTCAGTACTAGGAATTGAACACAGGGCCTGTGAAGGCTAAGAAAGCATTCTACCACTGACCTACATTCTCTTCCATTTAAAAAAAATATTTTTTTTTGAAACATGATCTTGCTAAGTTTCTGAGGCTGGCCATATGTAATTATTAAAAAAATTAATGTTATTTATAAATAGTAAAAATAGTTATTCAGAAACTATCTTTTTGTTCTCCCTGTGTTACCAGATGTGTAGGAGCAGGCATGCATGTGCAGTTACTCAAGTGTGGGTTACACAGCTGTTTGGAATCTGGCCTGCCGTCTGTAAGCTCCAGGAGGACTAGTAGCAATGTTTATAATGACATCTATAGGCTGTTAGTAAAAGATAAGGAGAAGGCTAAAATAGTTGAAGGCTAAAATTAGTGTTTCTGACAAATCTTTATCCAATTTTCTGCACTGATTTGCAATTGAATCTCAGCAAAAAAGATCAGATTCTCTTGAACTTGCAGATAGATTCATAAGCAATTCTCTTTTGTAGTTCTCGCTGTAACATATTAAAAAATTTTATACTACCTGTGGCTATCTCTGAAATATCTTCTCAAGTTATCAGTCCTGACTTTTATCTTGAATTCTAGGCAATGTAATTTTAAAAATTCCATGTATAACTTTGATTAAACTTGTAACTTTCTGATAGAAACCTGGTTCTTCTGCTTTTCTACCCTAGCTTGGTGATACTCTCAGTCTTTTCAAGCTAGAATCCTGGGAGATGCCTAGCTTCTATTCACATCTGGGAGCATCCTATCTATTTTCTTTTTTTGGTCCTGGAGATAAAACCTAGGGCATGGTGTTTGCTAAGCAAGTGCTCCACCATTGAGCTAAGCCTCCGGCTTCTTATCTATCTATGCTTTTAAATATTGCATATTTTTGTTCCTTCCTCTGCCTTTTCAGCATCTTTCCTTAAGCCATGTCTCTCATTCCACACCTCTTAATTGGTTTCTGGGCATTGAGACTCCCACAAGGCCATCAGAGATATTTTCTGTAGTGAAAATCTACAGAAAGTGACTGCTCTCTGTAACCATCTACCTTACAAGACATTATTGGATATTGATATCATACTTTGGTGGAACATATATACTCTTGAACACCAAAATCTAGAATCTTTGACATGATTAGAGACCTTTAAGAACTGATTTTTCTGGTACACCTCATATAGCATGATGTGGCCCCAGATAAATTTAGATCAGTGGATGTGACTTTGGAAGTCGAACACAAAAAACTAGCTTTACTGCTTGTGGTGGGAGGTTGCACGGTTGTGGGGATTGAAATGAGGGGCTTGGTGGTCTAGGAGGGACCTGGGAATGCAGAATACTAGAGAAGAGTTTATGAAAACCATTCCTGTGGCCTGAGCTTGAGTTGACATATAATGTAGTTTGACACCATTGACAGACATCTTGGAGTCAATAGTATTGTCTAAGAGTTTGTAATTTTTTTCCTACAGTTTCCTGGGACTGGAAGGAAGACTTGCTCCCTGGTGGGAAGGGTGGCGGGGAGGGAGGATGCCAAGACCAATAATATTTATCAACACCAAGTCTGAGTTTAAAATTCAAATTTGGTTTAGACATTATTTTTTCATGATTGTTTTTATAGGGGATGTTATAAAAATATTGATTTATTGGTAATAAATCAGAGGGTTTTCCATTATTTCAAAAGTTGTGGTCTAAATGTTTATGTCCAGAGAGATTTTGTATTTTGACTGTTTTTGAGGATTTTTTAAATTGTAGTTTTCTATTATAAAAATATAAGTATTTTTAAAAAATTAGAAAAATTTTGATCATATATGAATAATATTTTTTTACCAAGGAACAGAGGTAATGGTGCAAAGTATGTCTCAACTTAATAAAGAATAATTTCAGGAATATGATTCTCTTCTCAAGTAGAATTATGATACAGTAAATAGTGGTATTAACAGTTAAAACAGTTTCTTGAAGAAAGTGAAATACTTTTGATTGTAGTGGATTTAGATTTTGCTTTTCTGTTATGAACACTACCATATTTATCTAATGACTTAAAAAATTGTTGATTATATTAAATCACAAAATAATGGTTATGTGAAGATTTTTGATGTTTTAAAAAGAAATGCAGGTGGGCTGGGGGCTGCGGCGGCCTCGCGGCAGCCTCCGGCACGGTCTCCCCGGACCCTGCAGGGCCGGGCCGGCGGGGTGAGGAGAAGCAGTGGAGCAGGGAGCAGAAGCGCCAGGGGCAGTGGTCGCTGCGCGGCGGCGGCGCGGCGGCGGCGGCTCCCCTGGAGGCCGCGGATGTGGGAGAGGCGGTGGCAGCAGCGGCGGAGGCGGCGCTGCGGACCCGGGGGAAACTGCTGGCTGACAGGACACCCGGGAGAGACGTGAGGGAGCCGCCGCTGCCGCCTCTTACCCCCGAGCGGAGCTGGGCTCGAGAGGGCGACCCTGTGCTCCCCTGGCCCGCGGGCCAGCCGGCGCGAGGCAGAGGCGGGAAGCCGGTCTCGGCCCGGCCAGGCTCCGGGCGGCGGAGGCCGCGGAGCAGCAGCCTCGGCGCGACGTGGAGGGCTGGAGGCGGCGGCGATGCACTAGGCCTCTCTCTGGGGCGGCTGCCCGGGACCGCAGTAGAGTGGTGATTTTATGCAATGGCTTCAAGCCACAGTTCTTCACCAGTGCCTCAAGGAAGCAGCAGTGATGTTTTCTTTAAAAAAGAGGTAGATCCAACAAAACACATTCGACCTGTGCAGTCACTGCGAGATGTATGTCCCAAGGAACCCACAGGTGATTCAAATAGTTTATGTGTTACCCCATTTCTAGTTACAGATCAAAATAGATGGACTATATATCATTCCAAAGTAAATCTCCCGGCAGCACTAAATGATCCTAGATTAGCAAAAAGAGAATCTGATTTCTTCACAAAAACATGGGGATTGGACTTTGTGGACACCGAAGTCATACCTTCATTCTACCTCCCACAGATCAGCAAGGAACATTTTACAGTATATCAACAGGAAATCTCTCAGAGAGAGAAGATACATGAGAGATGCAAGAATATTTGTCCTCCTAAAGATACCTTTGACAGGACTCTTTTACATACTCATGATAAATCCAGGACAGATCTGGAGCAAGTACCTAAGATTTTTATGAAACCAGATTTTGCCTTGGACTATTCCTTAACTTTTAATTCAGTTTTACCATGGTCTCATTTTAATACTGCTGGTGGAAAAGGAAATCGTGATGCAGCTTCCTCAAAGTTGCTTCAAGAAAAGCTGAGCCATTATCTGGACATTGTGGAAGTAAACATTGCTCAACAGATCTCTCTACGTTCAGAAGCATTTTTTCATGCAATGACCTCTCAACATGAATTGCAGGACTACCTCAAGAAAACTTCCCAAGCTGTAAAAATGCTTCGAGATAAAATTGCACAGATTGATAAAGTAATGTGTGAAGGATCACTACACATTTTAAGACTGGCACTTACCAGAAATAATTGTGTTAAAATATACAATAAACTGAAGTTAATGGCCACTGTACACCAAACTCAGCCTACAGTGCAGGTGTTATTATCTACTTCTGAATTTGTTGGAGCATTGGACTTAATAGCAACAACACAGGAGGTTCTACAGCAGGAACTTCAGGGCATTCACAGTTTTCGGCATTTGGGATCACAGCTTTGTGAATTAGAAAAACTGATAGATAAAATGATGATTGCAGAATTTTCTACTTACTCTCATAGTGATTTAAATAGACCACTAGAAGATGACTGTCAAGTTTTAGAAGAGGAAAGACTAGTATCTCTTGTATTTGGACTTTTAAAACAAAGAAAACTTAATTTTTTAGAAATGTATGGTGAAGAAATGATTATTACAGCAAAGAATATCATTAAACAGTGTGTGATTAATAAGGTTTCACAAATAGAAGAAATAGACACAGATGTTGTTATGAAGCTTGCAGATCAGATGAGAATGTTGAATTTTCCCCAGTGGTTTGACCTGTTAAAGGATATTTTTTCTAAGTTTAAAATTTTCCTACAGAGAGTTAAGGCAACATTGAATATCATTCATAATGTTGTTCTCTCAGTTCTTGACAAAAACCAAAGGACTCGAGAATTGGAGGAAATTTCACAGCAGAAAAATGCTGCAAAAGTTAATTCGCTGGATACAGAAGTGGCTTATTTAATCCCTGAAGGCATGTTTATAAGTGATGCATTCAGTGAGGGTGAATTAGCACCTATAGTAGTTGACACTACCTCGCAAAGAAATGCATCTCCAAATAGTGAGCCCTGCAGCAGTGATTCAGTATCTGAACCAGAATGTACTACTGATTCTTCGTCTAGCAAAGAGCAGACATCATCATCTGCTACTCCAGGAGGTGTGGATATTATGGTCAGTGAAGACATGAAATTAACTGACTTAGAGCTGGGGAAGCTGGCAAATAATATCCAAGAGTTATTGAATAGTGCCTCAGATATATGTCATGATCGAGCCGTCAAATTTCTCATGTCAAGAGCAAAGGATGGTTTTCTTGAGAAGTTAAATTCCACGGAATTCATTACACTTTCTAGATTAATGGAAACATTCATTTTAGAGACAGAACAGATCTGTGGAAGAAAAAGCATGTCATTACTTGGAGCACTTCAAAGCCAAGCTAATAAATTTGTAAATAGATTTCATGAAGAGAGAAAAACCAAGCTCAGTCTCCTCTTAGACAATGAGCGCTGGAAGCAAGCTGATGTTCCTGCAGAATTTCAGGATCTTGTTGATTCTATATCAGATGGAAAGATTGCTTTACCTGAAAAAAAATCAGGGGAAGAAAGAAAACCAGCTGAAGTTCTCATTGTTGAGGGACAACAGTATGCTGTTGTTGGAACTGTATTGCTGTTAATAAGAATTATCCTTGAATATTGCCAGTGTGTGGATAACATCCCATCTGTTACTACTGACATGCTTACTCGTCTGTCAGATTTGTTGAAGTACTTCAATTCAAGAAGTTGCCAGTTAGTTCTTGGAGCTGGTGCATTGCAAGTTGTTGGACTAAAAACAATAACTACAAAAAATTTGGCTCTTTCTTCACGATGTTTGCAGTTAATTGTGCACTACATTCCTGTGATCCGGGCTCATTTTGAAGCTCGACTACCACCTAAGCAATATAACATGCTTAGGCATTTTGATCATATCACTAAGGATTACCATGACCACATTGCTGAAATATCAGCTAAACTTGTAGCGATAATGGATAGCTTATTTGACGAGCTGTTATCGAAGGAATATTTGTAAGCAAATGGCCAAAATGCATGAAGCTATATTTGATCTTCTTCAGAAGAACAAACACAGATGTTATTTTTAAGAATTAATGCAAGTTATAAACTTCACTTGAAAAAGCAGTTATCTCACTTAAATGTGATAAATGATGGAGGACCTCAAAATGGGTTGGTCACAGCAGATGTAGCTTTTTACACTGGAAATCTTCAAGCCTTAAAAGGTCTTAAAGATTTGGACCTAAATATGGCAGAGATCTGGGAACAGAAGAGGTGACAACTCACTGGAAAACTGGGTAGTTCATCTAACCATGGGACATGTATGTTTCTGAAGAATATCTGAATGCCTGTGTTTCGAGAACCTGGAACCCAAAGTGAACTGAGGTGGGGGAAAGGGAAAAGGAAAGTATCAGTGTTGGGAAACTGGATTCAGTGGGATCTACAAGGAATGCCATTTTTGTGCATTCTTAAGTGAGGAGTAACTGATCAGGTGTCTATAACATTTTTCATTCTCTCTGGAAACAGACTCAGGTTTCTTTGGACCAAATCCAAAAGAACACATAGCTGTAACACAGCTGTAGTTGACTAGAATGCTCTGTATACTTTATATTAAAAAATGCTTTGCATTTCTTCCAGTGCAATGAAATTCATACGGTGTCCCACCTTATTTAATGATGGTACAATTTAAAATATTAAAATCTTAGTCAACCTCTGTAGAAAGTTTTCTCTATGAAAGTAAAGCTGTTTGAAAAATTATTTTTTTACAGATCTTTCTATAAAAAATAAACATCTTTTGATTGCTTGGATTTAGGAATTCAGTTTTTGTTTTAGTGACCAATGTCAAGTTTCAGGCTTTGTGTTACATATTTAATCTTTCTACTACCACTGTTATGTCAGCTGGGTAAAGCCTTCTCAAAAGTCCAAATACATGAAAGAATAATAATAAGATATTGGCATTTATGCAACTACTAGTTTAAATACTTTTCAGAAGTGGTATACAGAAGGCTACAGTTTAATAGCTGTATTTTTATAAAAGTATCTATGAAGGGTTTGGGTTTTTTCCCCCTAACAGGTAAGACTATGTATTCATGTAATATGCCTACTTATGAGTTCTCATTTTAACATTTAGGTAACATATGAAGTATGGTCCCCTTGGAGTCTTGTTTTTAAGTTACTTTCAATGTGTATATGAACAAAGACCACGGAGAAATAGAAATTTTAAAATATGGGCTGCTGTTTGGGGGCCAGAAATACAAGGTATTAAAGACTTTTATGATACCTACCTTCAAAATTAAAAATTAGAATCAGCAGCACTCTACAAGTGAAAGTGCCTGTGCCTCACCTCACACTAAGACTCTTGCCTAACCCTGTCAGAGTGCCTAATCTTGTGATTATGTACAATGAAATAGTCTTATTTTGTGCTTTACAGTTTTTTCAAAAGGAAAGCTTGTTTTCTTTCCTTTATCATTACGAAGGTATGTCATTGATTCTTACGCTGTCTAAAATAAAGGTGTAAAAAATTAAAAAAAAAAATAAAAAGAAATGCAGTTTATGAAAATTACAATGTAAATTAATAGTATTAAAATATTAAAAATTATTTTCTACTGCAAAAGAAATAAAATGAGTCTGAGAGTTTATTTTCTAAAAAATTCAATGTTATTAAAAATAACTATCACATTAGAGTGAAAAATTGGAAAGCATGCTTAGAAAATTTATGAATGATGTGAAAGTGAAAAATATAGGATGGCAGAACAATGCTATAAAAGCATTCTGACAGATGCATCAAATTTAAGAATTATGTTTTTGAGCAGGAAAAGGAAATACATGAAATTCTATATTTACATGTAAAAAACAAAATTGCAGAAGTACAGGATAGTATAAATAAAATTTTCCAGAAGTTTATTTGAAAAAATATACATGGGAAGCTAGCCAATCCCTAAAAAACAAATACCAAATGTCTTCTTTGATATAATGAGAGCAACTAAGAACAAAGTAGGGAGGAAGAGCAGGAAGAAAAGATTAACATTAAACAGATATATGAGGTGGGAGGGAAAGGGAGAGAAAAGGGAAATTGCATGGTAATGGAGGGAGATCCTTATTGTTATACAAAATTACATATAAGAGGTTGTGAGGGGAATGGGAAAATAAACAAGGAGAGAAATGAATTACAGTAGATGGGGTAGAGAGAGAAGATGGGAGGGGAGGGGAGGGGAGATAGTAGAGGATAGGAAAGGTAGCAGAATACAACAGTTACTAATAGGGCATTATGTAAAAATGTAGATGTGTAACCGACGTGATTCTGCAATCTGTATTTGGGGTAAAATTGGGAGTTCAAAACCCACCTGAATCAAATGTATGAAATATGATATGTCAAGAGCTTTGTAATGTTTTGAACAACCAATAAAAAAAATATACATGGCTTTTGTATTAGTGACAATCCATTATATAGCTATGTTATCATACCTCCTAGGATATTGAGTAGCATTTTATTCATTATCTTCATTAATACAAATATACAGTTCAGACAATGGAAGATAAAATCCCATTGATTTGAGAACTGGACAGACTAAAGACATAGAATTGTGTTAAAGGATGGGCATCATTTGTTATTAGACATACATTTAAAAAACTTTAAAAATGTAAGGGCTCAGCCTGGTGTGGTGGTGCATGCCTGTAATCCTAGCAGCTCAGGAGGCTGAGACAGGAGGATTTGTGCGTTCCAAGTCAGCCTCAGCAAAAAGCGAGCTGCTAAACAACTCAGTGAGACCCTGTCTCTAAATAAAATACAAAAAATAGGGCTGAGGATGTGGCTCAGTGGCTGAGTGCTCCTGATTTCAATCCCTGGTACCCCCCATCCCCAAATGTAAGTGCTTATCATATATAATTGTTATATAAATATATTATAAGTAATACATATTATGAAGTTATATATATATATATATATATATATATATATATATATATATATATATAAAACATCATTGCTAAAATTTCCAAACTACACAGTCTTCTAAAGCTCATTGTTTATCTTATAAAGCTCATTGTTTATCATGCATAAATATATGTTATAAAGTGGAATCATAACAATACAGGTTGGCATTCTGATCTTTAAATGTATCATGTTATTAAGTATTTAGCTACATATTATTTTTAATGATTATATAGTAACTTATTTGTAAGGGTTTCTTACTTTGAAACCAGATTTCCTTTGGTGGATATATATTTAGTCACCAACTTACAGGAAGCATGGTATAATACATTATCAGGCACTTTTTAGATTCCTCCTCCTCCTCCTCCCTCCTCCCTCTTCCCTCTTCCTTCATCCCTCCTCCTCCTCCTCCTTTTCCTCCTCCTCCTTCTTCTTCTTTTCTTCGAACTAGGAGTTGAACCCAGTGGCGCTTAACCACTAAGCCACCTTCCCAGCCCTTTTTTATACTTTATTTAGAAACAGGGCTTCACCTTAGCATTTCGTTTATGCTGAGGCTGGCTTTGAACTCACCATCCTCCTGCCTCAGCCTCCTAAGTTGCTGGGATTACAGGTGTGAGCCACCACACCTGGCCTAGATTATTTCTTAGTAAAATTTCTGATAATGCAATTTCTGGGCAAAAAGTACCTATATTTTGAAGGCTGTTTTTTTAATGTTGCCAATTGTTTTCGCAAATTAGAATAATTTGTTTTAAAGATCTTTAGACATAGCGTGTTCATTAATATATTTGTGAGTTTTCATCTTAATAGTTTTTGTATTTCTTTACAATCTAGGGCAACTAGTTTGCTAAGAGATTTCAAAAAGAATAGATTTTGTGTCTTATTAATTGATTATTTTTTCGTTATGAGGGATTGAACTCAAGGGCACTTGACCACTGAGCCACAGCTCCAGCTCTATTTAGTATTTTATTTAGAGACAGAGTTTCACTGAGTTGCTCAGTGCATTGCTTTTGCTGAGGCTGGTTTTGAATTCAAGATCTTCCTACCTCAGCCTGCTGAGCTTCTGGGATTACAGGTTTGTGCCACTATGCCCAGTCAAATTGCTTTTTTCTGCATCTATTGTGAGGGTTAAAAAATGAGTTTTCTCACTGGGTGCGGTGGCACATTCCTGTAATCTCAGCAGCTTGGGAGCCTGAGGCAGCAGGATTGCAGGTTTGAAGCCAATGTCAGCAATTTAGTGGGATTGTAAGCAACCTAGTGAAAGCCTGTCTCAGAATTAAAAATAGAAGGGCTGGGGATGTGGCTCAGTGGTTCAGTGTCCCTGGATTCAATCCCTGATTATCCTCCCCCTCCAAAAAAAATGTTTTCTAGTTTTTAACATAAGGAATTACATTTATTGAGTTTTGAACCTTGATTTCAAGGTAAAATTTACTTGATCATGATGTTTTCCCTTGTATACACTTCTGTTTGTTTGCTAGTATTTTTTTTTCATTTTTAAATTTGTTTTAATTGGTTACACATGACAGTACAATGACCTTGGCATATCATACATTTGAATCAGATGGGATACAATTTCTCATTTATCTGAGTATACAGGTTGCAGAATCACATTGGTCATGCAGTCACATATATACACACAGTATGTTTGCTAGTATTTTATCAGCAACTTTGCATTTATTTTATTAGAATCTTTGCATTTGTTTATGAGAGATATTGGTCTTTTTAAAAATACCTATTATAGTGTATTTTCTGTTGCTATAAAATACTACAGAATTCTACAGACTGAGTAAATTACAAACAATAGATGTTTATTTGGCTCATGGTTCTGGAGGCTAGGAAGGTCAAGCTTGAGGGGCTGCAACTGATGTGGGCCTTCTTGCCAACCCACATCATAGACAGTATCATATATCAACAGAGAATGCATGTGCAAGAGAAAAAGTGCTCAAACTCCCCCCTTTTATAGCTCACGCATTCCTATAATAATTAACCCACTCCCATGATGAGGGCTTCAATTAATTCATGAGGGTGATGTTCAAGGACCTAATCATCTCTTAAAGGTCATACATAATCCCATTTTGAAGGCGATTAAATATATTCTGTGGGTTTGAACAAATATCCAATAACTTGTATCCACACAAAAAATATAATAACATGATTTATTACAGTATTGTATAGTAGTTTCACTATTCTAAAATTCTATTGTCTGCCTACTTATTCATTCCTCCCCGAAACCCTTGGCAACCTGTAAGCTTCTTGTATTTGATTTCCCTTCATTCTTTAGGTTTAGGAAATTTTATGCTGTCAGAGGCCGTGACCAAGTCAAGATGGCACCTGGCAGTTTGCCAGGAGGAGTGGCTTGTGAGGCAACACCACCAAGCCATCAAGATTGTGGGGACTCCTTATTGGCTGATTGCTGTGTCTGTAGGGGAGCAATGCTATGATTGGATGATGCTGATTGAGTCATGCTTTATGTAAATCAGTTAGATGTATATACCTCAGATGTTCTACAATAAAGCAGTTCCTGCTTTAACCTTCAAGTTGCTTGTCACCTCCCGGTTATTTTGCCCAATAGGACTGCGGCAAGTGGTGGCCCGTACAGGGAACTCCAGGACACTCGGGGGTAAGTGACAAGGTGAGCTGCCTGTCCCTAGAAATAGATAGGACAGGAGGAAAGCTGCTCGCCCCTGAGGAGCAGATAGGGTGAGAGGACCGATGGCCATTTCAAGAAAATAGAAAAATTGATACAATGTGTTTTTGTTTCGTTTTGTTTCATTTTATCTTAGTGTGTTGTGTTCACATCTTTGTTATGGAAATATGGGATCAGAAGTTAGTAAAAATCAAACCGAAAGGGTGTTAAGTAAATTGCCAAAGGAAGGGGGC